TACAAGAAATTACCATAGATTATTATCCATGTAAAATTTGAAATTTGAGTGTGAAAAAATTTGAAAAGTGTTTTTAGACTAAAAAAAAAATAACCCATTATTGCCAAATTATAGAATTCTATTATAGAATTTTAACATTATAACAAATCATGTTATATATATGCTATACGAGTGCTTAATGCGTATATAACATTTTTATTTTTTATACTATACGTCTATACCTATACTATAGAGTATAGGTAATATGCTGTATCTAATATACATTGTATTTTAATCTTTTTTATATATTTTTCTCCGACTTACGGCAAACGCCGCGATTTGTTTCCTTCATTTTTCTCATGTCTCGACTCCGAACAATTTTGCCGTTCTCCTCCGTTTTAAAACGAGGGTATAATACTGTGCGCGTATTTATATTTGTTTTTAGTACACCTATATACGCCTGTAGAAGCAACTGTACAATGCGCATAAACATAATATATGCTGAGTAAACAAACTGCGACAACGCCGTCGTCGTCGTCGTGGCATTGATTTATCGTAATAAAACGTTTATTACGTATATATGTAGCCGGTACGTCTTATAGACTTTCACATTATTATGACAGGAGAAGAGAACACACTCGCGTATTCCTATACATAAAACGCATCGTGTCTCGTCTGCGCCGTATATGTGTGACGACTATACGACGAATTTATAATATATTGTTGTTATTATCATAAAGTGTTGAGGGATGGGTGGTATGAGGGGTGTTGGTAGGCTAATTCGGGGTGGGGGTAGAGAGAAAAAGAAATTTCACTTTACTAGGTATATAGGTAGGTTTTTTTTTTGTTTTTTGAGCCTTTTTCCTGTGAGTCTTACAGCGGCGTCATCCCGTTTGGGTTTGGAACGGTTCATGTTTGTTTTGGAGATTAAATTGTTCATTACAATCATACCGGATCATTATAATAATAATAATAATAATAATAATAATAATAATAAAAATAATAATAATAATAAATATTATACTCGCGTCCGATTATGTTCGTGTGGACGGCGTTACACAGCACGATTGCGACGGTGAGACTCCGAAATAAAAACTAATCTGTGTTAACGTTGGCACGAGACGTCTGTTTTCGTTTTTATCTTTTTTTTTTTTTACTCTAGGCTACATTTAATATTTAATTAATTTGTTTGCTCGAAGGATGAAAACACTTTTATTAGGGAATGCTATAATCTTTTTTTCCGAATTACTAATATAATATATTTTTTGAATGAGCGATGTATATAATATTATGTAGTTCATTATTAAGTACGTAATAATTCCAGGGTTGCTAACCGCGATTGGTTTAGTTTATTGTTCCTCATTCCATCATCGTAGAGTCGTAGTAGTGTAATAATATTTTTTCTAATTACTATTTACTATCGATGCAAACTTTTAGGAATAAAATATAACGATTAAAACGTATATTACATTGTTGAAACACTTACATTGTTTTACACTATGTAAAATTAAAAGTCCGTTAGTTAAAATAATATAAAAGGGACGTTTAATTTTCTTATTAACCACCTTCCTCACTATAGTTGTATTGTTACGAGGTCAGCCTTGTATTAACGTAGTAAATAGATAAGAATTTTGATATTTTCCCCTAAACAGTACATACTTTGGTACGCAGATATACATGATATATTTCAACACCACGCATTGAATCAATATTGGTGTTCGTGAGTACTTATGATATTTTAAATGTCGTTATTGAAAATAACGCCAGATATAGGAGCCTCCATTGACCTAGTAATAATAATAATGATAATAAAGATAATATGGGATAGTGGTTTTTTTTCTTCTAAAAACGTTAACGGTGAAAGTCAACTATTGTTGTCGTGGCTATACATTTTTTTTTCTCATGACAACAAAATGAATTCGCCATCGGTTTCCATAAATATGTATATATGTAATATGAATGGGCCAATTGGTTTTCATAATAATGCTATTATAGCTACGTGTATCGTATACTAATTTGCGGTCGGTTCTTTTGTGATATAAAATTTGTACAGTAGACACAATACCTATATACAATTATATACTGTTCGGGGACTTCAATAATTACGATTCCATATACTTAGGATAATTGTTGTGGAAATAATCGTTTAGGGTATTAATTATTATATTACGTAATAATATAACATTGCAGTATACTAGAATATAAATCCACGTTGGACTTGGAAGTGATTTCTTATGCATTCTCAATAATATACTCAAATATCTAATTTTACTATATTATATACTATAATTAATATGAATATTATTTTTAATAATCAAATAAGTTTACTTAGAACTCGAGTAGCCTGCAATATGAGAAGCCAGTTATATTATATTATATTATACATATTCTCATATGTATAATATAATTATAGGTATCTGCATGGGCGTTCTCACGGGGGGGGATATGGGGGATAGATCCCCCCCAAGGTTCTTTATTTTTTTACATATTAGTAATACACGTTTTGTCTACTTTTGATATGTGTTTGTGTTTTCAATATTGACTTGGTAGTTATTATTTTTTTTTTTTTTTGCAATTTTTCTTTATCGTGATTACTGATTCCACCAGCCATAAACAATATTATTATTTATCACTGATAATTATAACATGTAACAGGCAATTCGCTTTACAATTGATTTGTACTGTATTTTTGTAAACAATCACTCCGTCAACTTCATAAATTCCCAGCGTCAGAAAAAATGAAAAGGTAAGATACACAATGATAACACCACAGTGATAAAATAAAATAAATAATTTAAACCAGGGATGGAAAACGTTTTTAAAAAACGTTAGTAAACGGAAAAAAAAAACTAAAACAATAAATAAAACAAAAACAAAAAACCATAACAAAAAATCTCAAAAACAGAAAAAAAATTAATTACGAAATCAAAAACGAAAACGCAAATAAATTATAGTATTATACATTATTATATTAATAACACGAAAAAAAAATGTTACTTAAGTATTTACTTTTTAATCTTTACCAACAATGCTCTATTAAAATTTAAAAACATTTTTATTTGAAATCAAGAATAATTAATTTTAATTTTTAACTCTTAAGTGCATTTCTAAATTGCTAAATTTACTACTATAAAAAAAAAACAATATTATCAAAAACAATATAGAAAAATAACGTTTTTAAAAACGTTAAACAAAAACGAAAAAATTAAAAACATTTTCCATTCCTGATTTAAACTGATTCATAACATTCTTTTATAGTTCAAATAAAAAGAACAATAAATATGACTTGAATTGATTATTTGATATTATCAACTATATTACTATCAATATTATTAGATTCTGAGCGGAGTGAGGGATCTATTGGTTTTTCAATATTGTTTATATTTATTTTTATTTTATCCTGCATACAAAATTTCTACCAGAAGCAGTTCTTCTCTTTTAACATATAGTATATCTTTTCTTTTAGCAAATTTTATCAAGATGGTACTTTAGAGAGGTAATTTTTCAATTTTCTCAATATTTATTTAATGACACATTACAATGTCACCGACAAATTTCAAAAAACGCTAAAAATGTGATTTCAATTTCTAACACTTAATTTATCACCATTGTAACAAATAAAATAAAAATAATGATTTTAATTATTTTATCGTAATTTATAATATTAATTCAACTTACAGGCTATAATAAAATATAATTACAATATAAAATATCCAGACTGACAAACCGTGAGCAGTCTGCTCAGAATCGTTTTTCGTATACAATGATATGATATCATTGAATTCAAATTTAATACAATCCATTATACAGTGACCAACTATTGTAATCTACTGTACAGCAGAGCGACATCCACTTACCCGTTTTTTTAATATTCATTATTATAATATGCGAGTTGTGAGGCAAAACCCTTAGGTACGGCTTATTTTGAAACCATTTTTTTCATCCCCCTCCATTGAAATATCCTGAGAACGCCTCTGGGTATCTGTATAATGTAGTGTTAATTATGTAGTTGGGTATATAATAATATATGATTTTCCAGCAGTCGAATTTAATTTTACAATACCATTATATATATGAAGGAAGGGGTTAGTACGGATGAAGGTGTTAACTAAAAATTTTTCAAAATCGTTTTTATTACATAAAACGATGCATCATGACGTATTCATAGACTATACAAATATCAGAACAAAATAACTTATATTTATGGAGCTATCAAATTGATAAAGGTGTTAGTTATACAATCTGTCATTCTTGTTTTGTGTATTAAGGTGTTATTGTATTAATCCCCTATTATTTTATTAACAGATAAAATTGATAATTAAATTTATAAAATTTCAGAGTATTGTTTATGACTTTAAAATACCTACATAATTTTTGTTTCAAAATAATTTTTTAGCATTTGAATAGTTAAAAAGTTCCAAACGTTTATATAACTAAACCACTAAAATTGCCCTCCTGAATAATTTAAAAGTTGTGAGTTAACAACTTCATGCACTAACCCCTTCATATATTATAATTATAACCATCGGTTTACTCAACGGTTGACACAATTGGTTTATACGCGGTTTTTGACAGAACATTGTGTAGTAAACAGCTGTCGATGATAAAAAAATTAAAATATGTCCTCATTTGTATCGATATATGGGAAAGACCTGAAAGTTTTTTCGGCGAATCTCAGTATAGTATTACCTCTGATCTACTCCATTAATATAAACACTGAAGTATTGCGTAACACGTTCCCTTGACACTCCGTTAATATATTGCACCGAGCTCTTGGATATGTGTGTTATATAAATTATTAAATTTACGCGAGTGACAAAAATTTGCATAAAATATATTAAATGTGAACTTAGGAAGTCTCCCCCCAATTTAGGGGCGACGCGCGTATTTTGGTAATCATTGCAATCTTATTATTATTATTATTATTATTGTATTATGCGAAACGCAAAATCGCTCGTTAGCAGTTAGCACCGCAGCTCGTATGTTACATTCTACGCACGCGGCCCGTCCTCGTAATAGTTATGACGTCATCCGGCCGGGTGGCCGGACCATATGGCGCCGTTCCGGCCGATGTTCCGTCCACCAGGTCGGCCACACCCGCGGTCTGTGGCCGACGAGCACGTACTCCGGCGACGGCCGTCGTCCCGGCCGAGAACCGGGACTGGCCGGCCATCCCTTCGACGGGACCATGTGCGTTCGGTTACCACACACGCGCCGCCGTCGACAGATAAATAATAGTAATAATAATAATAATAATATAATGCCGTCGACAACAGCAAAATTATTATTAATATTATTACGTGAGGTATACTCAACGCCCTTGTAGCCGAAAAAAGTCACGTTTGGCCTTTACGCGCGCTTGTTTTGCGAAAATTATATTTTATTATATTATTGGCTCGGACAGGCGTTTTTTCCCCCAAAAATATTTGTTTTCTTCGGTCTAGCAGCTTTCAGTATATATGTATTTTTACATTAATCTTTTGAAGTGTTTGGAGACTGTTCTCGTTTATTATGGTTATTTTTTATTTGATATTATAATAGACGCACACCGACACCGACTGCGCGCGAAATTCATTACCGATGACCGTGAAACACGCAGCGGCATCCGAGTGTACTTACCCAAAACTGCGACGCTTTGGACGGGCGGCTGGCTATAGTGAAAAATATACTCAAAGGTGATAATACACCCACACACACACGAGAGCTCGCGCTAGTTCTTATTACCGCTTATACCTATTATATATTTTATTATTACGTGTGGTCGCAGCCGTGCCGTGTATAAACTGGGTTAATGCAATTAAACGCTCAAAGGCGCGCGCCGTGTGTGCGGTCGCCAAAAAACGATGTCCTTAAGCGCGATTATAATGTTCGTAAGCTCTTTCGTGCACTCTGCGATCAGGCCATGAACAAATTAATAATGCGCTCGGCCTTTTCACGTGCCACTGGTATATAGTTATGCGTCGACTAGCGCATGATGGGTGTAGTACATCGTATACATCGCTTCCATATCATAGGTGGGTACTTTTTTTTTATAACTATATATTACGACCATGATTTCTATTAGGTATAGCATAGAATCTACTTGTTCATTTATTAGTGTACTAGAGAAATTCCGACTAAAACGAATTGCAAACAATATTGAAGTTTCGTCCGCCACGCGTTTTGTGTTTGAAAAATGTCAATGGATATACAAATTGGGGGGAGTCTTTTTGTGCTCTGTACAAATTATTAAAAATAATAGAACTAATGTTCTAAATGTTTCTAAATTCTATAAATAGGTATTTAATTATTATTATTATTATTATTTATTTATTTATATTTTCATATATAAATATTAGATATACACAGCCTATACATATCGACGACGGATGCAAATGTTATATACATAGATAGTGAATAATCTCCTACATATTGCGAACTTCCATTTAATGAAATTATTTTCTGATCAACGAAATGTTTTTGAGAACCACCCAAATTAGAACTAAATTAATTGAATTATATTTAAGAGGACTGCGCACTGGCCCACACGAGTTGTCTCCGTCTTACAAACGTACAACATAGTAACTTTGAATTTAGGCGAGTCTGCAGTTTTGTGTTGTTCACTTCAATATTTGAGTAAATTGACCTATGATTACACTTAACATAAAAACATTATTCATATTCTCTGGTTGTTTATTAATGTATTTATATTTTAATTTTTAAGAGTGTATTATGAGTATGTAAAGTATAAAAATGCTCATAGGTAATTCGTTTTAACATAAAAATTGTCTTAAAAAATAATCATGATATTATACATAATATCGTACTTATATCATAATGTAAGTATCTTTAAGTTTGATCATAGGTAAATTCACTCTAATAGGTTTAAGCTATATAACAACATGAAATAGGTTCTGCTGCACTCAATATTTGATTTGCTGTACGTTTATAAGACTGGAGACAACACATACGCAGGTATGGCGTCCTTTTATTTTGTCACCCATGAGACTTCGCAATCGCAACTTGAATTAATGTCCACTTAGTTATGCAAGGGTCTTGCAAACTTCTTTTCCGCTGCTTGCATCGCCCATCGCCACTGTGGTACCCACCCTGCCGACACGTGGGGGACCGGTAACCACGTCACGGCCACGGTGTCTCTCGCTCGCACGCACGTCACCGTCACTCGATCGGAGTGGTGGGATTCGCCCACAGTTTTGCACGCACCGTTCGCTCCGAACTTGCACGCATCACGAACCGAATCGTCGCTCGAACCGGTCGTAGTGTGAGCGCAGTCCTCCCCCGACCGTCGTCGTACCGTGTGTGTCGCTCGTCCCCGCCGAAGTCCCGTCCGCGTGTGTTGTTTTCCCGTCGTCGGCGCGGCGGTGCGTCACGCCACACAGTGTTCTTCCCGATCGGTTTTTCCGTCGCGTGCGCGTGTAATCGTCAAGCTGACCGGCAAACGCCGTCGCCTCCTCCGCCGTACCGGTTACCGTTCGCAGCAATCGCCTGCACGTATTCCCGGTCACCGCCGCCGCCATGTACGCTTCGGGCAGCAGTCAAAAAGTAAAATAGCTCATTGACTTTATATAATATTATTTATATGTCATATAGTAATACCCATAAAAATAGTACACATTTTGCTAGGCGACTAAAGCCCCCCCCCCACGGCATAATATTTTCCTACAATTATATTATAATACCATACTTATGCTTGGGTAAAGCACTTCGTACATACTAACTTTTAAATTTGGAGGATATGGTAGAAATTTGGAGTAGACCAAGTCCCTCTCCCCTCTATTTGCGCCAGTGATAATATCTATACTTTACGAAAATATATATTTTATCAGTGAGTACTTGTGTATACGCAACGCGTTGTGCCACCTCACTGTCTAGCTTTCCACATCACGTGTTGCCCGAAGATTGCGGTAGAAACCGTTGACTTTACCCACTGTCTATCAGGCCACCTGTACCTATTTGATTGTTTGGTATCAATTTATAAGTTGCGCAGTTTTACTATTAACATTTTTACACGAGAGAAAATATTTAATTTAATTTTTACTCGTTTGCAACGCATAAGCAGTACATCATATTCCTATATTGCTTGCATAAAATATCATGATGCCGTTTTAAAGATGACGTTGTTGACGATGTGATAATAGCAGAGTAATACAAATATAGTACTTGTCGCTATCGGTGCCTTTTAATAGAATCATTACGTGGCCATCTGTACAACATGCTTCGTCTTATCTGTATACTGTATATAAGTACTTAAGTATGTAGTTAACTGACTAAATTTTTAGATTTTCGGTACAGTTCATGTTGTGTATTATATTAAATTGAACACGTTCACTACCTCAACAAGTAGTCTTGAGTCTTGACCTATCTTTGCCTGCGTATATAGGTAATATATATTCGCCTGCCTCTCACCCACCCGACACAGATGTTACGCCAGGCCCGTAGTCAGATCGAATCTTCAGTTTGGGTTAACTGGGTTTTGTGAGAGGGCACTGCTGAGTGTAAAATATACATACAACCATATGACTATTTTGAACCCACTGCTAGAGGAACCAACGTTTAGGTCTAGTGGAACATTGAAGCTCTATCTACATGGCTTAGGGCCTGGGGTACTCTGTATATAATATTTTGTTATATAGGTACTTTATATATATTGTTAATTAACGAATAGGTAGTTTTATTATTATAAATTATAATATTTACTATTACTACCTATACCATTATTGTAGCCTTGTAACACAATTAATATTAAGCATTATAATCACGGATTTTCATTATATTTATATTACTTTAGGTAATTAGGTACCTACTTTAAAAAAAATTTAAGTATCAAATATGTATTGTTATAATTACTAGCTGTACCTAACACCCTTGGACATGTATTTAAATAAAATAAAATATAAAAATAATAAGGGTGATCACCTCCGCAGCAGATAGTTCTTCCTATATGTTTGTGCATTGTGTGTGCTTTTACTCTTAATGCAGGATAGAGAGAATCGAGGTTTTTATTTTAATTCTTCCTCGTTTCCGACAGCTCCACGCGACCCGAGTGAACACCCTCCATGAGCACCAGTCCATGAGCACTCACTAAACCCTTACCGATTGTCAGTTTCCTGGTTTTCGGCAACAGTGTCCGCGTATAATATTACCTATATTATGTATATTATGTTATATTGTCGTGTGTGTATACCTGTTGTATTATACGCATATGTTCGTGTACACAACATATATGTTTATCGATCGTATATTATGCGTGTTGTTTTTTTTCGCGTACGGAGAAGCTGCTTTCACCGTCGTCTCGTCCAAGGCTGCGTCTGGTTGTCTGTCATCCGGACAAGGCTGTGCATTTATCTCGCGTTAGCATACACGTATATTATGTTATGATGTGTGTACAGTTGTGGGAGGCGTTTGGCCGCGTATTATATGTTGTGTTCTAAATTTACGGAGCGTACGTGTATATATATATATACCTAGAGGTGCGAGACGCGTATATATAATATCGGGCAGAGCGTTCATTATTTTATTTAATTCTTATATATACGCCGTATAATAAACACTTGCGACGAGTAACACCTTTTTACATAATTTCGATTTCCGTTTACATTTGAGCATAATATATCCCTTAATATAAAGATTTCCATGAGCTCATGCAATTGTCATTGTTGTACAGCCGTGCGGGTCTCCGAGCTTCCCGATCAGCTTCTGCTATAACACCACTGCGGCGCGGGCTAAAGCGCGTAGGACGAACCGGCTGCCGACACCTGTTGGTCCAGCCAGACCGCCAACGCGGAACCAAACGGTCAGCACTCTTCGAGGGGCAGGCGGATAGTGTTGGGTGACATTTGTTTTCGTATATATGATATAAATAACGATAGAATATTATTATTATATTATGCACGTTAACCCAAAAGAAGATTCTCTTAAATCTCGGTGTTTCTATTTTTTTACTACATGATTATTGTGTTCGTTTTCTCGTTACAATAGAAGACGACATTATAATATTATTATGAATTATTGTTCGCTGCACACGGTACTGATGTATCTATATTAAATGGGTGTATAGATGACTGAAGTGTTTTTTCCTTCTTCCAGTCGAATGACTTTCAGCCTGTGCAATATGTTTATCAGGGTTTGGGAATTTACTGCAGTCTGACTTAGGAAAATTCTACCAAACTATTTTCTCTATGCTGTGTTTAATATAAATGCGCTTATACACCTTATATTACCCACTAGGTATTGAAAAGGTACAACTTGTGTAAACAATTTTACACTCTAGAGATATTGTGTACAAAGTATTAGAATAAACACCAGCGTGTGTTGTCTTACAAACGTACAACACATCAAATTTACATTCAGTAGTTCTAATTATTGTTCTTTATAGACCCTAGTTTTAATATTTTTAGGGTGAATTGATCTATTAACAAACTTAAATATTAATGGTAGCAGAGCCGGATTTTAAGGAGGGTTTTAAGCGCACTTGCCCCTGGCAGTAGATGGTTGGGGGAGAGGGGGAGCATTCTGATGCCGAAGTACTATAAAACAATTTTTTAATGAAAGTGATGTATTGGATTTTTGATAATTTTATAAAATTATAATTACTGCAGGGAAAAAAAGAAATAGTACCAATTTTGTAAAAAGGTGTTTATATTTAACAATTTTGACTGTACTATTTAGTGTACATAAAAATTTTGAAGTATTACATTTAATTAAACTGTAATTTATTATTAAAATAACAGTGTGAAGGTTTAATTACAACATTTTAATAAATAAATGTTATGATATTAATTAATATATATTTCTGTACTCTTCAAATTTTAAAGGTTTATTATTATTATTATTATTATTATTATTATTATTATAATATTGCTATCATTAAATGTATTTTGAAAGTTGTGTTACAAGTTTACAAATTTTGAATTTTTTTCTTTAACTACCTACTTAGATATTGTATATTTTTAATTTTCTTACTGCTAGGGGCCTCTAAATAGATTTTCACCGGGCATCTGAAAGTCTAAATCCGGCCCAGATGGTAAGAACAGTATCCATTGTATTACGTCGATTTTTCGACATTTTAGTTTTTATCCGATGTATGAGTATGTGATATATAACAATAAAACATTTGTGTCTAGCTTTAAAATTAAAAATCAATAAAATCTAACGTGAAAAACAGTTTATGATGTTCTTATCTTTGAAAAACACATCAGCCGCCGTTAAATACATAATATAGGATCACGCAAAGCCGCATAGGCCACATAACAACAATAAATAAAATATATAATATGATGACATCTTACGGTTCGTATAATGACGAAGACAACAATAATCGTGTAAAATAAGAGTGAAACACGTTCGAGAATCTACTTGTGGGTGACATCTTACGGTTCGTATAATGACGAAGACAACATGTTAATATAGTATTTACTATCATTAGTTAGGTAGGTATCTTACAGGGGACCGCCCAACCCAATCTCAGATAGCCGATATTTTGGCTAACTGTATGTTTCAAGTACGCGCAAAAGCTACATATCTATGGTTGGATCCCTTATTATTAACTTATTGGATAATGGCATATGATTCTGTATTGCACTATGTTTGAGAATTATTACTGCATCTCACAATGATTAATTATTAAAGAATTTCCACCTCATTTTTGTTTTTTTGTTGCTCTCTTAAATTGTTATACATTTCAGAGAAAATAACACGCATGCGATAAGACATAATATTGTATAGACGCTTATATTATATATACATAGTATATATAATATCGTCGTTACATATAATATAATCTTTTATAATCGTATTGATCGCGAAAACAATAAACGGTTATTTGTTTTCATTGTTATTTGTTCGTTCTCGTGCTACAGTACGCTGCTGGTGTGCACAAGCAATCTGACGTTAATTTATAGCCCGGCCTACCTCGCGTAAAAAAAAAAAAAATAATAAACATGACGCGCTTTTTACCGGACGACGATGACGACTGACGAGTCTGCAGAAGCAGCACACACATACGTTCGATGCATTAAACATTAGGTATTTTGTATTTTACTGTTTCAGCGTCCTTGTTTTACCGTCGTACACGTTACTCGCTCGTATACACATTGCGAATATAACTATTTGTATTACCAACATCATTCGTATATACAATATCATATCATACAATATGTATATCTATATATGTGTATACTTATAATATATTTAATTGTCTATTCCGTTATACATTAATTTTCTCTGTCAATCATTGTGATTTCGAAAAAAAATGTTCTTGCCTTCTTGGATATTACAATTTTATGTTAAAACAAAATACGAACATTTTTATTATTTTTAGAGTATAACATACTCTGAAAATAATATACGACAATATAATATTATACTGTCGTATGCGCGAGCAGTGGTTGAACATTTAAAAGACTATAAATATGAGTCGTTTATTTTATTTTTTATCACACGCAGTTATAGTACCTATACATGATTTCCAGTTTGCCATGTATGATACTGTCATCGTATCGATATAATATAATATTGTTTATACAGTATAGGTACCTCTTATACATAATGTACGCGCATGTTGTATCTTATCGTAACTTACTTGTTTATTTCGCACATCGCACATGCATATTTACGAGAGTACGAAACACCGAAATGGTTTACAGTATACCGCAGCATAATATACAGTGTAATACTCACGTATATAGCCGCGTTCGACGAGCAAAATATAATCGTGGGTAAACAACAAGCCAAGATTTGTTTAAAGTTTAAACCGAATCGACGGATGACGCGCGTATAATACAGTCGGTTAAAAATAATAATATATTCGTTTTATCGAAAACGATGTCTTAACGATTAATTTACGACGAACAGTTGGTGCGAACATATATATATTTATGATATTAACGATTATATTGAAATGTGTGTATGTTATAGTCAACGTCGGAAAGTAGGTATATAATCCATTTATAATATAATATATATAGATAAGTTTTTTTTGTTCACGCAAAAGGCGTTATTTTTATATAATACACCGGAGTGAGTATCGCATAAATATTAATATGTTATGTGTTATACTTATATTTGTTGTACAGGTGGTTGTTTGTTTTAAGACGCTATTTTGTTTTCCATTCGCTCGTAATCCGTACCTATATGTACTGTCGTCGATTACGACGAGTATATTATATTACAGTGCTTATATTATATATAGTATAATATGCTAGTGTATATATACTATATATTGACCGTTATTCTATACATATGTATTATGCAGTTGCAGTATATATGTATATGGTATTACGCAATATATGACATGCTGGTTCACGAGGGACGATAGATGGGGCCGGGGACTTGTCCAGGGGGCCTTTCTCAGATAGTTTATTAATTTAACCTAATAAATATATGCACATTAAATGTATTATTGTACAAAACTATATAAATACTAATACAAAACACGATTTCGTCATAACTCATAATATTATATTATAGAGGTAAGAATAGGTTTGTGTCTTAAATTATTAAAATGTATCGTTAATAGTGTAAAGAAAACAGAGACATTTAAAAAAAAAAATCAAGGAGTATTGACACTGCATGTAGATAGTAGATACATCGGTACATGTTATGTCTTGTAAATTTAATTCGTTCATCGCTACGCTCAAAATCTAAAAAAGTATAATGAGGTTGCTATGGTAACCTAATTAATTATATTAATCATCGGTTTCTAAGGGCAACCTAGGAACAATGTAATATTAATTTCATCTTTGTTATTGTTTGGTTGTCATGGCAACTGTAACGTGTAATCGATCAGAAAAATACAATCAAATTAAGGATCTCAGTCTCAACACGATGATGTCACAGTAACACAAATTAGTAACACGTCGCACAAAATAATAGAATAACCACCCGCTATAAGACATATACATGTCAAAATAATTTAACTTTTAAACTTTTTCTCATTCTCATAATCGTCAAAGGCATGCTCACGTGACGGGGGTGTCATATCCCACCCACCCTTTGGCTTATTTTTGTCAAATAAAATATAATATAATGAAGCAGTGAAAGTATATTTACCGCAATAATATAACGTAGTCTGAGAATAGTCAAAAATTCATATCCCTCCTTTCAAAAAAACTAGTACATATAATACGCTTATCAGAGTCCAGAAGTTCCTATACATACCTGTATAGCTCACGACGCGGTGGTTCTTCGTATAACTATACTCTATAGTCTATACACCTCGAATGACGAACCGTTTTCTGTAAAGTATTGTATTATAATATATATTATAATTATGAGATTACATAAACGAGTATATTCTTAATAATATTATTATATTGTCATGTCGTGTCATCGCGTGCCTATGCTGTATTGTATACAATGTATGTAATAAACAACTCACCCGCGACCTTTCGCCCGGAATAAGACTCACAGTAGTCGAAATACAATATATCGTATAATATAATATATTATAGTATATGTAGGTATACCTATTTGTATATTATAGGTTGTATAGGTTATATTGAGGGTGGGTAGGCTTTCGGAACGGGTTTGGCACCGGAAATTCGCTCGGGTCGACCGTCTTCAATCATCGGACGTCTGAATTTCAGTGCAACGGCAAATGGCTATATAATAGGACGAGTAGGCGAGTGAGACGCGACGTGGAGATGCACGTGGGCGGCACAGGCGGCGGCAGGTCGCCCACCAGCCTTATACCTGTAAGCTCGCGGTGCGCGCGCGACAATGGAACGCGTTATTATAATATTTATTATTATTATTACTATACATATATATTATTATTATAAATTAATTACCATAATTTTCATTATAATTGTAATACTAAATATACGTTACGTGTGTTTATGCGGTGGATTGCTCTCGTTCATCGTCGTCGTCGTCGTTGTTGTTATTTGTGCACGTCATGAACTCATGACGACGACCTTCGTCCTGCAAATTGCGAAACTTAAAAGAAAAGCGCATACTACACAAGAATGTGATAATATATACATAAAAAAATATAGTGTATAGTATAGTGTGTATATGTTATCATATATTGTAGATAATATTATAATCGTATTATGTTTATTGATTTCTTCGTTTGTTTTCTGTTCATATCATAGATCGCGGCCGTGGTGAGCTGTTTTGGAAAATTCAGCTTGACCAAGACCTGGTGGACACCATTTCGTCAATTTACCCCGAGTGGTTCCGCCAACAACAGCAACAGCAGCAGCTGCAGCAACAGCAGCAGCAACAGCAGCAGCAGCAGCTGCAGCAACAGCAGCACACCAACCCATTAACCATGCAGAACAATATTTCACAACCGTCTCCGCCCTCAGCCGAGGTGGACGAATCACCGTTGCAAAAGTCTATGGACAAAAACAAAGAATGTGAGTGACGACCTGACTTAACCTTTATGCTTAATAATATCTATATAATATGTAGATACATAAGTGTAACTCTATAACGGCTGTATCCCATATCAGTCCAAAAAAATTTTTTATGACGATATATATGACTATTGTAGACGGAGACGAAATATATACCTGAAGGGTGGGCGGGGTTGTAATATATTGGCGTGCATATTATAGGGAGTCAAAACCGGTTCAAATATTTTGGATTTCGGGATTCGTGTTCAAAACCAGGTAACATTTTTAGCGAGTTTTGAGTTTCATGTTCAAAACCTGGTAAAATGTTTTGCTGGTAACCCGCTTCAAACCCGTTTTGACGCCCTGGCGTATTATGCATGACTCGTGTTCCAGTCCCACTTCCCCCGGGGATATCGTGTTTAGGCGATGGAAATTCCGTTTATTTCTTTCAAATCACTCATATAATGTCTATCCGTCTTACTAAGGGATAACATACCAAAACATGTACGTTCAGCATTTCCAATTTTGTTTTGTTATTATATCTTAAATATTATAGAATGGAATATTTAAAGATAAGAACATTTTCTAAATTCTCTTGTTGATTGTTTACAATATTAAAATTTTTAAACGAGAGCTATTAGCATTTTAAAATATTAATATTTTACATACCCATGACTTGCTTAAAAATTAAAATATCTTACAAAAATAACGAGAGAGCACTGCAGATAATGTTCTTATTGTTAAATACAATATTATAGGTCAATTTTCTATAATCGTATTAAGCTAATCACACACAATTATAATTGTTGTGTACTTCTGTATATAAATATCCCACGATTTAAAAAAGAAATTTAAATTCGAACGTTTTGATCGGCGGTTAACCGCAATTACGTATTTGAGGGGTGGGCGGGGTTGCCATATATTGGCGTGCATTCATTATTCGTGGTCCAGCCCCCTCCCTGGGTATATCATGTGGGGGCGATGGAAATTCCGTTTATCTCCTCCAAATCACCGGATATAACACTTATTGGCTACATACTATACGAGATAATGACACCACTCCCGTGCATAAATACAAAGCCGTTTGGTTTACACGTAATACTTTTGTTTTTAGTAACCACTAAACTACTAAAGCATATAATGTTTTAACCGCGGTTTCACTATACCGTGGCGTTTATTGCTGTACATAATATTATATACCTAAACTTAAATATTTAATTTTTAATCAATACGATGACGAGGGAACATGAAGTTAATGATCACATATTTATATGTAGGCTATTTGTGGTATACAATTATTTTTCCGTTTACACGAAATAGCATTAGACTCGTATTGTTTTGGTTACGATTTTATTAGCACTATAAAACGTTATCTGTGTTTATAAAAAATTATGGTTCATTACAAAAGTGAAATATAAGTAACCACAATAAATATTTTCGCGGGAAATCAATAATATTTTATACAATGTCTATAGCTTGTCAATCTTATTCGCTTTTTAGTCTATAGGTTAAATTAGACGATCAACAAATGGAAATTGATCTCTTGAAAAACTTTCGAGAGTATCGACATCAAAGTTTTTACGCGACTGAAATACTATTTCATATTTTCATCGCATTATATAAGAGGATCTCGTACCCGCGCATATTGTGTTGTCTCCGTCTTACTAACGCATAAACGATTTCATATCAAAATGTACCTTCAGCAGTCCCAATTTTGTGTAATTAGCTTTAGTAGTAGAGTGATTTGACTAATTTAAGACTTAGGGCCGTTCTTACGACGTCCGGTTAAAGTTAACCGACACTTAACCGGAAGAATTCTGCCGGTAATAAAATCTGTTATCAGTCGGTTAGCGTTAACCGACACTTTACCGGACATTGTAAGAACGGCCCTTAAAGAGACTTCTTCTATTTATTACTTCTTGGGATTTTACGATAGTTTCATTTTTAATCGAGGTATGAAGATTTTTAAATTATTTTATTTTGCATGCCTACTCAAAACTTTCTTGTAAAATATAATATCTTAACAAATCACCGAGAGAGCAATAGAGCATAGATCAAAATATATTCTTAGCTTCGAATTTCAATTATTGATTGTAGATTAATTTACTTTAATATTTAGCTAATAACATAAAATTATAAATTATGTTGGTATGTCATGCTTTGCAAGTAACAATATGTGGATAAGTCGTCTTTTTAAAATGAATATAAAATGCATTTCATAATGTTACGTTATAATATTGGTTTCGGTGGAAAACTCGCGAATATTGCTTTAAAAAAATCCGATTTCATCATTGCGATCTCGGTTGTTTATGGCGAGCTCGTGTTGTAAACAAATTGATACAATGATTATTATTATCGTCGTGACCTGTTATCGCGAGTTATTTTTCTTTTCTGTTTACTCAAGTCCGTTAGTAAATAAACAAATAGTAATAATAATATTATACACATTATAATAAATAGAAACAAAAACACTCGAAAACATTGTCGTCAGAATACCGTTTTGACAGATTCTTGTTACTGGATCGTTTATAACGAAAAGTTTTCGAGATGGCGTCTCTTTTACGCACACGACACACACACATTTATAAATATACACATATATTACTCGTAGGCTTAGAAGCCTCGCTATATAATAGGAGACGCGTGTTTAAAGTTAAAATAATTATGTTGTTTATAAACATTCGTTTTATTAGCCGACGCGTGACAAATCGCATTGTATATGTCACGATCTGTCGCCCGGGCCCCCGCCGCCGAAAATCGAACTGAAAGTATAATTTAATAATAGTCGTAAGTGAAAGAAAAAAACGGCGTCTACGGGCCGGACGTTCATCCCGGGTCCCGACACGGCCGGCGTCAGTGGCGGCGGTGGCGTCGCGTCGGTGGCGATACTGTTGTTTTCGAAAAATACGACGAGATGGAGTTGTGTTGCCGCTGCAACGACGGCCTATTTACTGAACGATTAATGACTTCGCGCAACGGCAACAATGTATATAATTATATAATTGATCTAGCGATAAATTGTTATTGATATTATTGCGTTCGGTTGCGTTTGTTTTTTTTTATTACGTATTATTATAACGGAAGCTAATTGTTTCGAGAAAAAACGGCCGAAGACAGCGGCGGCGTGCCAGATCGCGAGAGGAACGTCCGCCTCGGCCTATGGAGAGACCATGGGGTGACGCCGCCGCCGCCGCTGAGAGTCGATGACCCAAATAAACACACGCGACAGGCACGCGATTATTGTCGCGTACGAGGACGTTTCGTCTTATACGCCTCCGCTGGATAAAAAACAAAAAAAACCAAAAACTAACAAACAAGTATATCCTTTACGACGATGATATTCGTGTAAATACCAAAATAATATACGAAGTCGTGTTGTTATTATTACCATCGTCCGCGCACGTATACGTGACCGCGGCTCGAGCCTGTCATGCATACATTATTATTATACGCACCTATTATTATTTGTGTATCTATATTTATATATATATACGTCTGTGTTTATATCCAGTCGCTGCAGTATATTATATTATATGCGATGTGATAATATTTGACGTGATCATCACGTAAATAAATACGACTCCCTCGTCCTTCGATGGAAATTAAACGTCCGCTTTACACGGAGATTCACCACAAATCACCTCTCTTTCATAATTTAATCAAAGTTTGATTTTTAAAATTTAAAAGTTTACTCAGAAACCCCTTTGTTTTCAATTACTTAGATTGCTTCATACCATTTAGGGTCTGTCGTCTTTGCAATGATACTGCAGATTTCATTTTTCAAATGAAAATAAGATTTTTTCACTGTACATTTTTCACATATTCTTAAGAAAATTATCTAAAATAAATCTCATTCGAATACGGTTTGGTCCGTTGGACTTTTAAAATTCTTGAAAACTGGTCTTATATGAAAGTAAGAGTTGGACAGTTGGTCATCCGTGATGTGGAGGATATAGAATATCTAGTTAAAAATCTGTTCAGAAGAGTTTTCTTTTTTTGAGACTGGTTTTTGACTTAAAGTTTATTAATAAAAAAAACATTGGTGGGAGACTGTTCAGTTCACGACAGTGCGTTGTATTATGGCACGTCGCTCTTAAATGTATATTATACATTATACATATGAGCCCAAAAAGTTGTAAATTCAAAGTGTTGTTAAAATGTTTTGTTCATATTATGATTATTTTAAATTTAATTTTATCGTAAGAAACAACACGAGACATTCCGCGGATAGCAAACTCGCAGTTGTCACGTATTCCGTCAAGAAACGGGTCGGGGACGTGAGCCGATTGATTCATCCTATAACCTACAGCAGGAAACGAATATGTAGCATATGTTGCATGGTGTTAAAAATATATTATACAATAGCTGTCATTAGATACATGCTCGAACACGTTGAATTTTGTATGGCTATATAATATTTTATTAATGCGATCGTTTACCGATGAGGGTCGCGACCATAATATGCTATATAATATTAATACGTTAAAAGCTCCGTAAATTATGACAATTTAATTACGATTACTATTGAAGGCAATCAGCGTGGGGTCCATTCACTGAATTTTGCATCCTTGACAATATGTGTGCAGTTTATAATATATACTATACACAAACGAGTCGATTAATGTATAAAACGTGCCGTTCGATTTGCCGAGCCATTATTATGATCGTAACAAAACTTATAGGTGTATACATTTTTTTGACGTGCTCATAAAATCACCGTCGCCGCAGGATACGTCATAACGGTTAAAAACCCTCATCCAACGTAATCTCTCGTCATCGGCACAATAAATCTCCGCATAGTGCAACAGTCACCTATTATTTATTATTACGAATCATCACAAATTAATTATAATATTATCATTATATATATTAATATATAGATATATTATATATTACACAAATGTAAACGACGCAAATAGTGATAAACGATAAATGATATTATAATATACTTAATAATATTATATACTTTAGTTATACAATCAATATGTGTTCGTAATCTTTGCTCGAGCAGGCTCCCGCAG